GGCTGTCCGTAGAGGCGGTTGGCGTGCATATGCCTGCCACGGGCGCCATGCAATCTGAGGACTTCTTCCGAGCTCAGATGGTCGTGCTTGGCGCCCTGAGTAGAACGAATGAGTCCGAGAGACGCTTCCAACACTAAAGAAATTTATAATGTAACTGAGGCGACAAGACCTATACTCAGGAAACAGCATATATGATTTGTGCCAGATAAGTGGCGGAGAGACGTGTCTGAAGGCCTCTGAGAAGCAGAAGGAAGGGGGCCCTTGACTAAAGATAACCGCTATTTCTTGAGTGTTTACCAGCAGGGCTAACTGCTTTATGCCCTTTAACTCCTCTATTCCTCAAAACAACTAGGAGGTAGGGGTGGTTTTTATTCCCATTTCACAGGTAAGGTCTAGAGAATTGAGGAAGCCTCCTCCCAAGCCCTGACAGTGAGAACAAGGTAAAGAAACCTCAGTAAATGTTCTGACTGCAGAGCCCACACTCTTCACATGGAGGCTTCACGGTTTTCTCAGAAACACAGACGGGGGGTTCCCAGCAGAAGCAGCAGGCCGCTTCTTCCCAGTGCTGTCTCCCCGTGGGCTGAGACACCCAAGAATTCCTCCCAGAAACCCCTCTGGGGCTGGCTGCCAGGATTGGAACAGAAGGGTGGGACGGGGCTGTCTGGCCAGGAGATCAGGGAAACACCAGCAAAAAACCCCACTAAACCTAAGAGGGTCTTTGAAAAGCAAGACCAAGGGGCGCCTGGGTGGCTCAGTTGATTAAGCATCTGCCTTCGGCTCAGGTCATGATCTCGGGGTCCTGGGATCGAACCCCAGCATCGTCGTTGGGCTCCCTGCTCGGTGGGGAGCCTGCTTCTCCTTCTCCCTCTGCCCATCCCCCGCTTGTGCACGCTTTCTCTCTCTCTCTAAAATAAATAAATAAAATCTTTTTTAAAAAAAAAAAAAGCAAGACCAAGTACAGTCTCCTACTAAAGCATGGGAATTTAGCTAGTTAGGTAGCAGAGCTTTCTGGATGGGAGGAGCTGTACACCCTCTTTCAAGATGGAAAGATTCTCCATTTTACTAATTGTAGGTAGAAATCTCTTAAAAATATATTACGTCCTGCCCCTGCTTCCTTAGTGTGCCCCTCAAAAAAAGGACTTTAACTTTCATGATTCGGTTGGATCAGGAAGATAATTTGGTTATGGTGCAACTCAGTGACTTTGTTAGTGCTTATTAAGGTGTATGCATTTATTTACTCCTACCATAAATGATGCCAGACTGGTGTGGGTTTTAATACTCATGTCTGTTTTTCTTTTATCTCTGTTTCTTCTTTTTTAAGCTGTTGTTTCTCCTTATTGTTTGCTTCTAGGAGTCTCTAATTTTTAGTTTTAGCTAGGATATCAGATAACCAAGCTTTTTAGAACTACGTGGAAGACAAGAATAATCGCCTCTGAATAAGTTCCTATACGGTTAAATGCATTACTTTTACTACAGGACTGTGACCTCTATTTGGCCATTTTGGGTTCTTATCCTCATTTTTGCTAACTTCCTGATACCTTGTCTCCTCCCTTTGCCCCAGGTTCATGAGTTGAGATCAAATAGGTTATCTAGAGTCAAATCGAGTACCTAGGGAGACACAGTAAAGGTAGAATGGGAAGTAAACAGCAGAAGATAGCCTTTTGTTTGATTTTAAATTGTACTTTTGTTTGATTTTAATTTGTTTGATTTTAAATTTGAAAATGCTCTGTTGGGTTGGGGCTAAAGGCTATTTGTCTGGAAGGCTCCGGTCTAGAAGGGAATGGTGTGGAGGTTTCACTGATTGTCTCCTAGAATCGAACTGGTAAGCTGCTGTTACTCCCTTACCGAGTTGGGAGAACAGAAGCTCAGGTAAAGAAGGGTCAGCATTTGATGGTTTCATGCCATGGACGTGTGTGGGAAGATAGGATGAACAGAGACCTGTGGTCAGTCTTTATTCATGTAAATGTTATTCCTGAAAGATGCAGTCTCTTCATGGGAGCTCTAGATAGAATGGGAGCCCTAGAAGCTGTGAAACCACAGGACTCTCTCCCTGCCAGTACCTCTGCAGCAGCCCCTCTGGTTGGATTAGCTTCCAGGGCCCTACCGCCATGTTCCCTTGCTCTACATCAACTCACACGTATGCTGTCACTGAGCCTTGCCTTTCTGGCCTCCCTCTTTGACTGTTTCTCCAGGCTCTCAGCGGGCATCCTTGCCCACTCCAGGCTCAGGGACGTGAATCTGAGGTTGGGCTTTCATTCGCTTTGCAGATGGATCCTGCTACCTTTGCTCAGCGTTTGGCCAGGTGGTGGGCGAGAGGAGGCTGCGGCCACCGGGAGCCCGACCCTAGTGGGTCAGTAGCTGGCCTGGGTCCAGAGTCGCTTCACTCATCTGGCACAGGCACCCCTGTCCTCAGAACTAGCAGCAGGTCTCCGCTCACATCTGGAAAAGTTCAAAACTGTTTGTCTGGGTGAAGGAGGCCCTGGGGGAGGGGGTTCAAAAACATGACATCACCTCAGTCAGGCCCAGCTTTCTTTGGAAAGAGAAAAAGGCTGGGCCAGGCTGAGCCAGATAGGATTCCCAGGAATTGATGTGTTGGAAGGAAGAAGAGGAAAGGGTGGGAAGGAAGGATGATGTCAAGGGGGAGTTCCCATGGTGCCTTGGAGTGGTACCCGGAGAGGACGATCCTTCGGTTCAGTGTCCACATGTTCCCACCACCTGCCCCCTTCAGTGAGTTCATACCTTAGGGGCAGATTGCTGAGCACGTCCTATCTAGGAGCAGAGGAAGACTGGATATGCTTCCCCATCTATTTTATTATAAGAAGACCACCTCCCACCTGACCCAGATAGGAGCCCATTCTTTTCTCTCCCAGAAGGGTGGAGGATGCATCCTGATCCTTAGCAGTTTAGACTCCCTGACCCTCTGGCTCCTTCCACTCAAGTGTCCGCTAAACCTCAGTGGCCCCATTGCTCCCTGCCCCGCATAAACTATGGCCCCCCCTCTTGCCCAAAACCTTGGTGATTCAGGTTTTTATCTCTAAAATGGAGATGGTAATATCACTTCTTCCTCCCGCTCACCTGCACGTAATATTAAGATATGATTATTGTCTTCACCATTCATATCAATCTACTTGCAGCAGGTGGGGAGGGAGTCAGATGTGAGAGAGTGAGACTTGTCACCATTTTTAAAGGCAGCATTCTTGGTCCCAAGTTAATTGCAATGAAACAAAAGCCTAACTTCCCTCTTGATGTCGAGGGAAAGAAGAAGTGTCATTCTACATTGCTATTTACCTGGAAGCCCCAAAAGATACAGACCTAGATCTCAATCAGGAAAATTTGAAGACAAACTTTAGGGTGGCCTGGGATCCTCAGGGGTCTTTCCTTAAGGGTGGTACTGCTGGGCGCTCACCTCTAGGTACCAAGCCCATCCCTAACATTTACAGGGCCCAAGCCAAGAATAGAATAGAGGCCCTCAGTCATATGTCTAAGTACTTCAAAGTTACCAATCAGGCCTATTTAAATGAAATATCCTCTATCCTCTTACCTTGAAAAACATACCTTCATGGCCATCTGGAAGGCCAAGTTTGAATTTGGACCCTGTCGGTCTCTGAGCAGGAAGAGATGGCCTTTAGCCCTAGCCCATCCCTCTTCCCTTCTTACTCACAACTCTGGCACACATTGTTGGGGATCTTCTATGCATGCAAGTGACACACCACCCACATGCTAGATGTGCAAACCTTCTCCCTGAAGCAGCCACCTCTTGGCTACTCTTGTGCCTTGGAGGTACATACCCGGTGCTACAGTTCACCCTCAGAAGGATGGACTGGGAGAAAGGGCCCCATGAAGATCCTCAAGTGAGCAAAGAACCATTTGGGCAAGAAGTTCTAGGAGCTCTGGTCCCCACTGTACAACCTAGGAGAGAAGGCACATCTCTGTTGGCCCCATGGACTCCTCACGGTTTGGGGCCGGGCAGAGTAGAAGGAGGAACAGAATACAGATTCTGAAGTTTGGGTCCAGTCAGGAAGCTTCTCTTTCCTGGGTTTAAGGATGGCACTGGTAGGTACCCCAGGAAACATGGAAAGACAAGGACCTTCATGAGGATCTTCAGAGAATAATTAAATCCAGGAGCATTATACTGTACCAATTTAATATTTGTCATTAATTTTCCCAACAATCCATGTAAGGAAAGACCCTCACTTTAGAGATTGGTAAACTGAGATACACACACAGATATACACACACACGCATTAAACTACATAGTTATTGGCAGAGCCAGAACTAAGCTTTCTTCCCACTGCATTTGATGAGAAACCAGGCCTTATATTCTCTAGTCCATCCACTGGATTCCCAGGTCAGAGCTTCTTGAAAGAAATCTGGCAGGGGGTGGGGTGCTTACTGAGTTTCTCAACAAAAGACAGGGAGGTTGGGTTTGCAGGCCATAAGGGAAAGAATGAAGGGAGTTTGGGAATGGGGAAGCCTTAGACAGAGAGAAGATTTTTAAGGGGGGGTGCATGGACATGGCATGGCTCTAGTGATTATTACTATAGTATATTATATTATATTACTCTAGTGAATGGAGAGTGACAGAAGAGAGGAAGACACATTAAAAAGGAAATAAAGGTACTTCCTCCCCCATATTTTAGATCTCTGTGATATTTATTGAGATATAATTTGATATTTTAGTATTTTACTTAACATGTTACAAACATTGCCTTGTATTCTCGTGCGGCTTTAGTTTTTCTTACAATTTTTTATTTGTAATGATTATGGTACATGAAGTGCATATAGCATTTATCCTATTGTAATTCATTTAGTTGTTTGCAACTTCTCCCTCCTATAAATAGTACTATATTAGACACTTGGTGCATACCAGCTTTCCCTTCCTTATTTTCTTAGGGCAAATCTAGTAGTGAGAAATTGGTCAAAAGGATAGTCTGATGCCATGATGTCATGAGGCTCCAGGATGATTGAGGTTCTGACTTGTCCTTCTTGTTTCTTTATAGCCTCTGGGTTCACAAATATGGAAAACATGACTGCTGTCACCACAGAGTCAACCACCCAAGCAATAACTTCAACTGTGTTTGCAAATGTATCCAACCAGGTGGCCACCACCCTAAGTCCTCTTGGAAGTACCACCCTGTACCCTGTCTCTCAGGACAACAATGGTACCACTGCAACCATCTCAGGTAAAAAGTGCTTGTCTCAGGCCCCAGAGGGACGCTGCTTGTGCCTGGGTAAAGCATTAGGATATTTGCTGACCACCCCCAGGCCTCCTTTCCCCCACAGATGGAAACATACAAGCCCCACGAAATATGGTTTGTGCATCATGCTTTGGGGACCCTGAAGTAAGTTCCTGATAACGTATAGTGATCTATCATGACAGCTTTCTCAGGCAGCTTTAGCAGCTGATCCTGATCACTCATTCTCCTTGTACCCTGCTCTCATGCTGAGTTCAGGTTAGTGATGAAATAAGGATCAGATGAGGACTCCCTAGAAATCTCTGATCTCTTCAGGTTCAAACTGCTTTTTGACTTCCTTAGGGTAGACCAGAATCCAGTTCAGTGTCAGAATCCCAAAAGCGCCTCTAATAGCATTCTCAGTTATAGCTGTGGTTCCAGCAAGCTGGCTTGAAATGAGTTTGGTAAGGGCTGGGACATGAAGTAGCTCTTAACTCCCCAAATTCCCTTTTCTGGTTTGAAGTCCATGCCACTATCATTCTCTATAAGGTTTTAATTCAAGACGGTGAACTGAGGTATGTGTAGGGGTGTGTGTGTGTGTGTGTGTGTGTGTGTGTGTGTTTATGCAAACATCTGCACATGCATACTTGTGTTTTGGTCTATTTCAGAGACTACAGTTAATATCACATCTACCTCTGAGATCGCCCCAGTGCCCGGGACCATGAACTCTTCTGTCCAGTCACAGACCTCTTTAGCTATCACAGTAACTTCTATCCCAACGAGCTTTTCAACTTCAGACATGACCTTGAAGCCCAGCCTGCTACCTGGAAATGTTTCGGATCCCCCATACAACAGCACCAGCCTTGTGACATCCCCCACTGAACACTCTACATCATTTTCTCTTACCCCAAGTACCATCAGGGTGGGTGAATTGGGCCAAAAGTGGCAGATTACCCCCTCACTTCATATGTATGCAAACCCCCTCTTCCTTTCAACCTCTCCTCATCCCAACCAGTGAGATTTGGGTCATGTTAAGAATTAGCAAGGAAAATATGTAGCTTAGGGGTGCTTGGGTGGCTCAGTGAGTTAAGCGTCTGACTCTTGATTTCAGCTCAGGTCATGACCTTAGGATTGTGGGATCAAGCCCCATGTTGGGCTCCGCGCTCAGTGAGGAGTCTGCTAGAGATTCTTTCTCTCCCTTTGCCCCTCCCCTTCTCATGTGCTCTCTCTCTGTCTCTCTAAATAAATAAATAATATCTTTTTAAAAAAGAAACTATGCAGCTTAAATATTGCTGGAAAAGATAGACAGGGGAAGAGAGGAGTGGAGACAGGTATACCCAATGCTGTGCGTATTGCATTTCTAGGGAGTAGAAAGTAAAGAGGGATTCTTGGAGGTCTGCTGTGGTTCTTGCTAGTACCTCTCCGTCTGGGCTTTGACCAGGGCACCATCTCCCTTAGGGCATATTTGGAAACCATCCTCCATTTAATGGGGCAACTTTTCCAAAAGGGTTTAGGACAACTACCATTTCCTGTATATGGGAAGGTTTGACAATATGCCAGGCATAGAGAAGCCATGAAGAACTGGGCAGCCCAGGGATGGTGAGCTCAGCCTTGGGGTCTATGGCCGTCCACAGCTTTTAGCAGGAAAGGGAGAAAACATGAGGGCGTGGAGCCTGGAGGCAGGCGTGAGGAACCTGCCTGGTTTCTGTTTTTAAAGGAACTAGAATAGGAATCTGGGGAGTCCAAGGAGCCAAGAGGAAAAAGAGTGTCCCCAGGTTCTGCCCAGCCGCCCCGTTATCTGTTTGCTGATATGACCTTACTTGCAAGTGTATAATCCACTGCAGGGAAAATAGCCCCAGTGGGAAAAGTTCCTCCCTTCTTCCATTTCTGTACCATCCAAGCTAATGTTTACCAAGACTGCAGATAGCTACTTGCTGGCAAGCCTGGGCTAGTAACAAGTTTTGATTATCTGATGGGGATGGGAGATGGTGGAAGGGGGGAATACCATTGTATAGCTCTAGTCCCCTAACATTTTTAAATTTCCCTTTTCCTAAAACCTCTTAAGAGTACCTCACAGAAATCAAAGAGGAAAAGAGGTGGGGGAGGGAATGAGGGGCAAAGGTACTGGCGTATTTACTTTGTTTTTGTTTTAATACAGGGAGAAATCAAATGTTCCCAAGTCAAAGAAGTGAAATTGACCCAAGGTATCTGCCTAGAGCTAAATGAGACCTCCAGCTGTGTAAGTCAAACTCCCCTCCACCTCACCCCCATCCTTTCCTCCTCCTTCTTCTCCCACGATCCTTTCTGAACATCCTTAAGCCATCTTGGACTGGACCAGACTTTGGTGGAGGTGGGAAGAACTTGGCTTGGTCAGGCACTTTCCAGCCCCGAGCTTTGGGTTTAGGGAGTAAGAGGCCCCATCTGGTGGGCAAAGAAGGCAAAGACAATTTTATTTAAATTTAGTTGTTACTTTTTCCCTCCTCCGTCATACATTGAATATGTATGTACATTGTCAGATTTAAGTTTGCTTTTGTGTTGAGAAAGTCCTTAGTTAAATATAAACTAGTAACCTAAAATACCAATTAGTTTATTATGACTGACATATAACTCTTTAATCCATATAGAATGTCTTTGTGCTGTAACGCTGTAGTTTCCATATAACCGGTTTTCCTAACATTATTTATTGAATGATACCTTCCATTGTTGATTGGAATGCTGTTTTTTAGCTTCTATTAAGTTTTTATATGTCCCAGGGCATATTCTTCAGAGACATTTTATTTGTTCGGTTTGTCTTTTTTTGGCCTGTTTTAAATTTGTTTAAATTATTATACTTTTACATTATAGTATTTTAAATATCCAGCCAAGCAGGCCTTTGCTTGCTACACTATAAAAAAATATGTATTTTTTGTCTATTCTTTTAGAAAAACTCTAGAAACATCTTGTCAAAATTTAAAAAAAAACCAAAATTTTCATTGGAACTGCTATAAATCCCTCTATACTTTTCTGGTCTTCTCTTGTGTTGTTCAGCATATTGTCTTTTTAGTTTTCAAAAACCAAAAGCTAGGTTTTGTTTCCTGTAGACTTTATGAACTTTTTAAGGTTATTTATAATATAGATTTCCCATTAAATATTCTAATTGATCATTGGTGGTATATTAGAAAGTTGAGTTCTGAAATTTATCTTGGGTTTAGCCATTTTCTTTAACTTACTTGTTAATTACAAGAGCTTTATAGTTGATTTTTTTTAAGGCAAGCTATCTTGTTACCTACCACAGTACATTGTTTTTCTCCTCCTTTTTAGTAGTTACACCTTGTTTCGGTTTCAAGTCTTATTGCATTGGTAAGACTGTACAGTACCACATTAACTTTTAATGGTGATAGCAGACGTTCTTGCTTTGTTTCAGTAAATTTTCCTGACAGTTACAATTTCCTTGGCAAAGAATGGAATGACAGGACTCTTCCTATTCACTTGTAGGAAAAAACATTTCCTTACAAGTTGGGAATCCATTTAAGGGAGCCATATATGTGGTGTGTGATTGCATAGATTGGAAAGGACCTGGGTAGACTGTAGTCTGTAGAAAACATTCGGCTATTTATTTTGTCCATTCTGACTGCCCATATTTTACCTGTGATTTTCAGCTGGGTCATTCTGACTCACAGATCTCTTAAAATTATACCTAAGGTCTTTATTTAGCCTAGGACTTTTAAAAACAATGGAAATTGCAAAGATATAAGTTCACACAATAGATAACAAGTGCAATTTGGAAAATGGTGAACTTAAGCATGATTATACAATGTACAGGTAATACTCTGTGTTTCTGATACTGACTTTCAACTCTACTTATTTAAAAAAAATTGCCAAACCCTTTGCTAATTATAGCTTTAAAAAAGTGCCTTTTTTTTTTAGTAATATCCTGGTGAAGCACTCATTTTCCTGTGCCAAAATGCTGCTTCTTTGTACCACTGATTTAGAACTAATTGCAGAGCATTCTAAGTGTCTGTCCATTGCTCTTCGAGGTTCACACTTAACTAGGGTCATCGTACAAGACAAGGTGCTGGAAACTTACTGCTACTCCAGAAATAACTCCCCTTACTGTGCTGTGGTTGCTTTCTCTCTGTGGTCTTTATGGTCTCATCTATTCATGCCACAGCTGAGAAGGTCTATACTCCCTTCTGAGGTCTGGGGAGGATCTGTGAGTAAGGATGTGGAAAAACAGCAAGCCCTCTGGTATGCTGAAGAAGGCTTCTGCGCTGCTCATGATGAATCAGCTCTGTGGTAGCACCAGGTCATGCTACGGTTTTCCTGGCCCCTCTGCTACTCTTGGTCCCCTTTCTTCCTCAGGGTTCCTTTGCCCCAGCCCCCAAGCAGCAGTGCCTCCTCAGCCCCCCAAGGTAATTTTTCCCCAGTTAGCAATCCTCGCTCAGAATCTTTAGCCAAAGCTCCCGATTGTGTTTCAGATTCCTTTTCCTTGGGTCCTAATGCGTGCTTGTCTGATCATCAGTCTGTTCCAAGGGCTATGAGTGGCGTGGTGCCTGCTCATTTTCCTCAGGTTGCCTTTGCACTCTTGGTGTCAGAGGGCCTTAAGGCACTGGTTCTAACCGTGGGAAACCCAAGTCCTACTCACAGCCTGATGAGAAGCATGAAGGATTTGAATTCCCCTAACATCATGTCCTTGAGTACTTGTGTCATGTTGGCATGCTCCTGCATCCAGTGTATTCCCATAACAGAATTACGCTTGACTGTTCTCAGGTATTCAGACACTCACTCTGCACTGGGATGTACTGCATATCTGACCTCGTAGCTCTCACTATGTGAATCATATAGGCCTGTCTTTTGTCCATGTATCTGCAGACATTCATTTCTCAACTACTCTCCTTTTGCTCCCCATCCTTCACCCTTAGACCTGACACCTCTGTCAGCTGGGGGAGGGAAGGCAACCCCAAGCTCTTCTGAAGCACCTGCTACCCCATCTTAGAGTCCTCATTAGCAGCTCCTGTCACTCTGAGTCTGACTTTCACTCTCTTGGCCACAGTGTCAGGGTAATTTAGTTTTTGTGGTTATGGTTTCCCAAAGAGTTTCCAAAATGTGAGATTACTTTATTCTCTTAGGCTATACCCATTTATCCAGGGGAATCCACCCAAGAAATTTTTTAATGGTGGTAAAATACACATAACATAAAAAAAAACCACCTTAACCATTCAGAAGTCCCACAAATAGTTCAGCGGTATTAAGAACATTCGCATTGTTGTGCGGTCTCCAGAACTCTTCATCATCCAGAGCTGAAACTCTACACACATTAAACCACTTCCCATTCCCCCGCCTCCCAGCCCCTGGCCACCACCATTCTACTTTCTGTCTCTGTGAATCTGACTACTCCAGGTACCTCATAGGAGGAGTCATACAGCCTTTATCTTTTTGCGACTAGCTTACATCACTTAGCATAATGTCCTCAAGGTTCATCCGTGTTGTAACCTATGTCAGAATTTACTTCCTTTTCAAGGCTGAATAATATTCCATTGTTTGTATGAACCACATTTTATGTATCTCTTCACCCACCAACGAATACTTGGATTGCTTCCACCTTTTACCATGGTGAATAATATTGTTATGAACATGCGTGTACAAATACCTCTTTAATACTCTGATTTCATTTCTTTTGGGTATATACCCAGAAGTAGAGTTGCTGGATTATTTGGTAAATCTATTTTTAAATTTTTGAAGACTCAACATACTGTTTTCCATAGCAGCTGCATCATTTTCCATTCTTACCAACAGAGCACAAGGGTTCCAATATGTCCACACCCTCACCAACATTTGTTATGTCCTGTTATTTATATATATATATATATAGTAACCATCCCAATAGGCATGAGGTGGTATGTCATTGTGCTTTTGATGGGGATTTCCTAATGATTGGTGGTGTTGAACATCTTTTCATGTGCTTGTTGGCCATTTGCATATCCTCTTTGGAGAAATCTCTATTCAAGCCTTTTGCCCACTATTTTGTTTTTGAGAACTACCTTTCTTTTGAACCACATGTGTTTCTATGCAGAGGTTGTATTTACTCAGCTAGTTCACATCACCCTTATTCTGTCACATTGACTTCATCTCAGGCAGGCTGCTTCCAACCTCCAGATCATATCCCCTAGCCCACGCCTTCCTTGCCCTCTGCCCAAACACTAAAGGTCAGTTTCCATGCAGAAAAAAATAACTTACAGATGGAGGACAGATGAAGACAGTGTGTCTCCTGGAGAGAGCCTGAGATCTGGAGACAGCCTAACTCCTTACCCTTGGCCAGCTTCCCCCTTGTTGTGTGACTTGTGGCAGGCCCTTCACTCCAGTCTCTAAATGAAAACAAGGTTTTACCTCCAATATCAAACTCACACCAAAATAGATAAAATGAGAGAGAAAGAGAGAATGAGAATTGATCCTAAAATCTCAGCACTGAGAAAAACCTTAAGGCTCATTTAGAAAAATACCTGTCCCTCTCTTCCCCACTCCAATGCTTAACATGCTTCTTTCACATGTTAAGAGTCTTTGCAAAGTTTGAGGATGCTACCCAAGAAAGGTTAGATGGTTTTTTTATTGTAGGTATTATTTTTGCAAAGTAACATGTGTGAGCAGATGTGGCTAGGGGCTCACAAATCTGATTCTCATGAGCGAAATGGCAAAGGTTGTGGCTTCCTCCTGCCCACTCTCCCGTGGTATCTGCCCACAGCCTCTCTTGGGGAAGGATGTTTATTTCAAGCATCCGGAGAAACACTGTGCTTTGTTCAAGATCCACCTGCTCCTCTCCAGTCCCCAACACAATTCACTGATGCTGCTGAACTCCAAAGTGGGAGGCTGGCCGCGGTCATTCCCTTGAATTTAGTCCAAGAAACTAAGCAAAGGGTGGAGGAATCCTGTGTGGAGGCCAAACCAGTTGGGATGTTAAGTTGAACAACAATTCTGTGAGTTCCTTTGTTTGTTTGGTGCTATGCTTAGTGCAGTCTGGGTTCAAAATTATGAAATTATGTAACATACACCCACTCCCCCAACTAAGGAGTCTTAGAGTCTAGCCAGAGTGAAATGACTATAACAGTAAGGCAGAAGATGATCAAACCTCAAAATGTGGATTCTGGGGGATATGGTGCATAGTATGGTTGTTTATTAATAGTAACAGTACTAGCTGCCATTTGTCCAGTGCCCGTTAGGTTCCACACACCTTGTTGGGCGCTCTTCATACAACATCTCCTTAGTCACAACTCAGTCTTCAGCTTAGGAACCTCACACTCAAACCAGCTGCATGACTTGCAAAGAACCTAGTAAATAGCAGAGACAAGACTGATGCCCAGTCTATGGAAGATAGGACCAACTTCATGGAGGAGGTGGGATTTGAGTGGAGTCTTAAAGGATGGGGAATCCAAGGAAGAAGGTGGTGTTCTTCCTTCTTCTTATAGCCAGGGTTGTGAAGGTCACAGGCTCTCACACACTTGGGCTTCCCATGGTGGTAGCACCCCATCTGAAGGCCTTTCCCTACCAGCTTCTCCAGCACACATTCTCTCCATTCTTCAAGACCTACTTTGACATGTTAACTGCTAACCCCAAACCTGATGTGCCCTCACCCTCCTTTGAATGTCCATAGCATTTTAGCAGTACCTTTGTCATGGTTCCTACCATGGAACTACCTCTGTCACCTGTCTCCTTGTGCCTCAGTTTCTTCATCTGTCAAATGGGGAGAATAATAACACCCATCTGAAAGGATTATGCCAAGCCTAAATGAGCCAATATGCGTAAAGCACTCAGAACAGTGCCAGAGACATAGTAAGCCTCATGTATGTTCTCTGCCATGCATAAATAAGCTGTGACTGTGTGAAGTTCGTAGCTACCCCACCCCCACCCCTAGCCCACCACACACTTGATACACGTGCAGAGATTTTCACAGTGTCTTACAATTGGGGCTTCATAAATGTCAGAAGAGGTGACTATGGTTGAGGTGCAGCTTCTTAAGATTCTGTAGTTTGAGCAAGGTGCCATTTTGTGTGGCTTGTTTAGATTATGCAGGAGCCCTGTCCCTCTGCCTCTCTCAGGAAGGAGACGTATCTCAACCAGAGACACTCCAGAAGCCTGGAGTCATCTGGGTAGGGACTTCCCTCTTCCTCATCCAGAAGGCATGGTGTTTGGGAGGGTGTGGTGTTCACAGGAAAGCAACATAAGGCTCCCCAAAGAGAAAGAAGCCTAGAGAAGAAGCAGACTGTTGATCATATCCAACGGTGTCCAGACTGCCTGCCGCTAATGCTGTGTTCAAGAACCAGATTTTTCCAGGAACAGAGCCTCTATCCAAGTACTTCCTTAGAGACCTTTCCCTCAGGGGTAAAACAGCAGTGGCTCGAGAATTCGTATTTCTGTGACCTTGGTTCTTGAGGGCCTTCTGAGGCTACCTCTGGACTCCTCTCTGTGACCTGGAGGTTAGGTAGCCCTGCTTTTCTGGCCTCATCCAAGCCCAGTGAGCTCCTCCTGAGCTCCCTTAAATTCCAGCTGAGAGAAGAAAGCTGGGGCCTCGGGCCAATCCCGACTCTGCCTTGTGCAGGAGCAAAGGATCCTGGGCTTTCCTGCCGCGGGCCACAGCCGTAGGAAAATACCCAGGCTGCTTTCCAAGCTGGGAGGGCCCCAAGGAGCAGCACTGCCCCACAAACAGGAAGCTTTCTCCTCCACGGAGGCTCAGTTCGGATGCCCCTCACACGCCCCAGCAATTTTCCCCGAACAGGAAAGCTGTCGGAGCTGTTCAGGCATTTCCTCCTCACCATCTGCCATCCGGACAGAGGAGAAAGTCTTGGTTTCGGTTCCTTTCCTGTGGGGGGGGGGGGGGCGGCTCTGATTGGAAGCTGCTGGAACACATCCTGGGACGTGTGAGAAGAACAGGGTGTTGGAAGGGTACAGCCAATGTTTCCGACTCATCCCTGTCCCGGGACTCAACTATCAAAGAATCATGAGGATTTCTCCTTTGGGGGGCTGAGTCCCTGAGTCCTAGAGACCAGCCAGCAACCTGGAGCAATCTGAGAACCTCATGGAAAACTGGGTTCCATGCCGTTAATGAGAAAGAGGGGATGATAAAAAAACGCCATTTCAGTTTGAGCCAGGCTCTCTGCGAGCCCCCTTGGGGGGTAGGAGGGAAGGGCCCGCTGATGCCACTGAGCCTACAGCCAGAGATCTGTGCTCTATCCTCACTTCCCTTGGCTTTTCCTCCAACATTTGGGGCTATTGTAACCTTGAAACAAAGGATTTTCTGTTTGTCAGTAACACACTGTTCACATTTTCTGGTATCGGCGATTTCTTTTGAATTTAATTTGAAATAGTGTACGTGTGCATGGACGATCCTTAAATAAGATGATGTTCCCTGAATTCGTTCTCGGCCCCTTTCAGTGCCGCCTATCGCACTGATACATACTGTTTTGGTACTGGAAAATTTTGGAGTTTTTTTCTTATTGAGTTTTTGCACATTTATAGTTCACAGGATTTTTTTTTTCCAGTTATAATTCTATTACCCAGAAAAGGGTAATAGAGCGTAATAGTGTGACTTGAATCAGGATTATTGCCTAAGACTCTGGACCCAGTTTGGGGTACATTAGTAATTTCATCTTCTGCTTGCCATTTCTTTCTGTCTTCCCAGGAGGACTTTAAGAAGAATAATGAAGAGGAACTGACCCAAGTCCTGTGTGAGAAGGAGCAGGCTGAGGCTGGGGCTGGGGTGTGCTCCTTGCTTCTGGCCCAGTCTGAGGTGAAGCCTCACTGCCTGCTGCTGGTCTTGGCCAACAGAACAGGTAAGGGGCACATTTGTCTTGGGGTCTAGGGAGGGAGTGGGGCTGAAGTTAGAGGATCCTGGGTAGAAACTCTAGTATCTGAGCTTAAAGAGCACAGGTGCTAGGGAGAAGAGCCAAGCTAACTTTGGGAGAGGCTCTCCTGAGATGGACCACCCTGGCCATCAGAGCATCATCTAGAACATCATAGGAGAGCACAGCTCTTCCAGCTTCTAGATTCAGCAGTCCCTGTTTCTAATTCTAGAACTTTCCAGTAAGCTCCAGCTTCTGAAAAAGCACCAGTCTGACCTGAAAAAGGTAAGTTCTCTAAGATGATGGGAATTCTCAGAGGAAATACTGGGTCAGGGGAATTCACTCGAGTAGGGGAGAAAGTAATTCTCTTTTCTAGACCTGTCCTTCCTATCTCTCCATCCTTCTCCAACAGTCTTTACCTTTCTGTGCTTGAACCATAATTTTATGGTGCAACTTGATTAAGAGATGTCAGTCTTAAATCCTGTTTAGAAAAATCCCTGAGGTCAAAGTCTTCTTGTGTTTCTCCTCTGTTGGGTCTAGCATGGACTCCAGAACTCACATCCCACAAGTGACAGTCTGTCTTTTCTGCATCTTCCCTTCCAGCTGGGGATCCAAGGCTTCACTGAACAAGATCTTGGGAGCCACCAGAGCTATTCCCGCAAGACCCTGATTGCACTGGTCACCTCAGGGATCCTGTTGGCTGTCTTGGGCACCACTGGGTATTTCCTGATGAACCGCCACAGCTGGAGCCCCACAGGAGAAAGGCTGGTCAGTTTAGGGGTCCAGGGCAGAGAAAATGAGGAAGATAGTGGTCTTCTGGGGAGGTCCATAAGTGTCACGAAGGGGGGAGGAGAAATCCCAGGAACGGTACTTCTGTGCCCTTATGCATGGACGTGCATACACACACATTACCATGTCGTTATATGGCTGGATAATATGGAGCAGATTAGGAAGAGGGCACTAACTGGGGTCAGCCCACCCGCTCACTGTGGCAGCAGATGGCTCATATCATCTATTTCTGATTTTGCCAGGGGTAGTTCAGCTGGGTACAACCAGAACAGGCTGCTAAATCAGCCACACTTTTTTGCATGTATATTAAGTGCCCATGGGTCCCATCTACTCACAGGAAGGGGACATATGTAAAGAAAATCTACTCTTGAAGAGTTCTGGATGTGGGAGGACAAGGCTGGGGTTTGACTCTTGGCCTCTGGCCTGCTCCCTACTCTGGGGAGGTTATTCCATCCTGGGGATTGCCTGGTTGCTGGCGGGAGCTGGTTATTGAGTGTCCGTGGCACGGTGTGGTGCCTCTCCTCTGTCCTTTCTCCTCTAGGAGCTGGAACCCTGACCGCTCTTCAGGAAGAAAGGAGTCTGCACATGCAGCTGCAACCCCCCCTCTCCCTCCCCCCCATCACCGCCTCACTCCCCTGCTTACCAGATAATGCTCCTTTATTTATACACTGTCTAGGGCGAAGACCCTTATTACACGGAGAACGGTGGAGGCCAGGGCTATAGCTCAGGCTCTGGGGCCTCCCCTGAGGCTCAGGGAAAGGCCAGTGTGAACCGAGGGGCTCAGGAGAACGGGACCGGCCAGGCCACATCCAGAAACGGCCATTCAGCAAGACAACACGTGGTGGCTGATACAGAATTGTGACTCGGCTGGGTGGGGCAAGGCTGGGCAAGGTCTGGGGAAGGGGCCCCTCCCTGCATCTGACCACAAGCTGCCTCGATGCTGGAGCTACCATCCCTTACCTTCTACCCTTTCCTGCTGCACACACCCTTGGAGGCCGTTCCTGGGGCCTTGCACCCCACCAGGCCGAGGGGTTCTCTCCACCTTGGGGACCGGGAGGTAACCCCTGCCCTTTCCACGTTCAGCTCGCTAAGCTTAGAATCTCGTCTACTTTGAGTGAAGGTATGAGGGGAAAATGCCAAAGTGCAGGGAAGCTACCAGGGTTGGGGGTGGGGGGGGTGATGATCTTGCATCATTCACAAATGGGCTTCTTCCCTCTCCCTCCTCTCCGCCTTATTAAAAGAACTCTCAGGGGAAGCATGGGCTTTTCTGGGCTACAGTTTCCTCCCAGGAGGCTTTGCCTTTTCCTGTTTCTTCCTCATGTCTGTCTTCTCTACTTTAAGGAAACCAAAGCAACCCAATGTACCTGCTCCTTTGTAATGATATAACCAGCAAGACTTGTTGTCTTAAACCATCTCCCTTATACCCATGCCAAGTCACTGTGGATTCAGGCATTGGCTTCCCTCAGGTTCCCCTGAGCTCCACACCCTCTCCCCCTACATCTGCGTACAGAAGCCTGCACTGTTTTCTGGCTGAGCCTGGAATGAGGCTGCAAGTTTTGAACAATGTCTTGTGTCTGTGTTTGGGAGACAGGGTAGGGGTGCATGGACACATGCGTTCCTACCTTTGGGGACAAATGAGGGAGGGGGATGGCTCAGTCTTTGTCTCTCTGGGGCTCACAGAGTCTCATCTTGGGCCCCTGTTTCTCCCTGTGGGTCCGAGTGGACAGGACCATGGGACCAGATCTTTGAGCCAAGCCTCTTGACCTGTGCACCTCTGAGGAAACCCCTTGCTCAGAGGCTAGGTCCTGGCCTTATCCTCTGATCTCGATAGCTTCCTCCTTCCTCCCCCTGACTCCTGGGTTGAGCTGTGGACTCAGTCTCCCAGCAGACTCCTTTCTGTCTCTGCCTCCCCCACCCCAACCCCCTCACTGCTCTGCACCCCCGTGTAGTCAGGGCCCCTCGACATCTCCAGAGAAACTTCATCACAAGCCACCTCCTCTGTAGGTGGCCCAGGTTTTCATTTGCATTTTTGTTTTCTTTCCAGAGGGGTGAGCAGGGATCCTAGTTTCAATGACGGTTGGAAATAGAACTTTCCAGAGATAGGAAGATTGGGTGGATTTTATTTCTGCATACAAAATGGTGTGTGTAAATACTGTAATTAAAGTGATACTGAGACACATCTGTTCTGTGTCGCTGTCCCAGCCAGGTATGTCTGAATGCCACAGTGGTGTCCCAGTCATACTGGGCTGGACTTCACAATGATATGGGGGGGGAGGGGGGAGGGGGAGGGGCAAGCCAGGAAAGAGGTGGGCCCATCTCAGGGGATACAGGCAAAAACCATGGTGTTGCTCTTTGACCAAGTCTCCGGCAGTTGGAGGAGGCTCACAGAAAGGCTGGATGTTTCTAGTCCTAGAAAGAAAGACCAGAGTGCAGCAGAGGCCTTCAGGATGGAGGGGGGTGTGCGGAGGACGTAGGAGCTGGGGCCTCCGTGAACACCTTTCTGGGAAGTGGCACACTTTGGTCCCTGTATGCAAAATGTGTATGAGCAAGAGAAGGAGCCCGGTGCACCTTGGATTATCCCACCCTCTCCACCCCGAGCCGGGAGCAGAACAGTGGAGGCTGGTGCAGGCAGCTTGTGCTCTAGAGATTGGGCTGCCGACTCCACGCGGGGGTGCTTCTGCCTTCTGCTCTAAGACACCAGCCTAACTGCAAACAGGCCTGCAAGGGCAGCCCCCAGCTCCCAGACCTCCGCCCCCGCCCCCCCCCCCCCCCGCGGCTGGGATAGGAAGTGGGGGAGGGAGCACTGCCAGACACTGCTCAGTAGCTTCAGGAAACACCCCCAAGTGTGTCCACAGTGGCAGAGGCAGTTGGGGCCAAACAAAGGATCCTTCCATTCTTATCTGGCCAAAGCCAGACCTTTCCCTTTAGCGCTCCCCCCCACCAACTTCCCCCTTGCTTTTCTCCAACTGCTCTCACCAGAGGTTCCTCCGCAGGACTCAGGGGACAGGGCGGGGGGTGTGGGGCAAGGAATGAGATCTAGAACTTTCCCTAGAAGGTGATGGCTGACCCTGGGCGGTGGCAGGGAGGGGAGATGGTCGTCTGGAAAGAGAAGCCGGGTTGGCCTCCACCTAGTTACATCCTGCCCTGAGAGTGACCCGATAGGGTCTGGCAGGTTTCAGATGGCAGGGAGAAGGGGTGTACAGGGTACAGGCTCCTGGGAAACGTGGAAGGAGGAGAAAAAGCACCTGGATCTTTGAAATGCGTCCACCCTTAGGCCCAGCAACTTGCTATTGTATTTTACCCTCAGTCTGTTGGCCAATGTAGACTTTGGGAGGAAGGGGTGTGTGTGTGTGTGTGTGTGTGTATGTGTGTGTGTGTGTGTGTGTTTAGAGGGTGCCTTGGCAGCTAGGTCTCTCTGGTGGCTGGACAGCTTGCCCCGAAGGACTCCTTGCACTCTTAAAAAATCAAACTTTCCCACCTTTGGCTGAGCACCCTGGCGCAGCAATGGCTCCACCTGCTGGCCATGCTGGGCTCCTACCACTCAATTTCAGTTCCCTGGTTTCCGTGTGGGGATTCTCTCCCGGCTGCCCCACCCTTAAACAGCCTGGTCCAGTAGATCTCATATATGAGGCTCAAACAACTATAAGAAGTCACCGCTGAAGAGGATTTTAGAGATACACGCAACTTAACTCCTTCATGTCACATTAAAGACAAACTAAGGCCCAGAGAGGAGATGTGGCTGGCTGGCCCAGATGCCCTGGAACTCCGGTGTCCTGCATCCAAAGCTCTTCCCTTCATCCTACCGTGCCACTGTTCTGCCAGGCTTCAGGGTTCCTCTGGTTGGATGTCATGAGGCTGGCGAGGGCAGGGTCAGAATAGGTTTGGGGCTTCATCTCTAGAGCCTTTCATCAACATGTGCTCCCATGCCTGGCCAGCCAAGCAGGTCCCGGGGTCTTGGGACAAAGGAGAGACTAAAGGCCCCAGGGAAGCTGTGAGGCTCAACTCCCACCACGGTGCCCATAGTCAGCCCCAGGGAATGAACTAGAGTGTTACATAGTCCGTTGTGGAAAGCATGCCCGGAAGTGTCTTCTGCCTGAGTTGCATCTAGATGGAGAAACAGAATTGTCCTCTAAGTCTGTATACGTGGGTCATCCCCATTCCATCCCCTCTAGGTAGATCAACCCCACACTTCCTCTGCACGCAAACCCAGTAGCAGGTAAGCAATTTTGGGCAACAGGTTGCTGCTTCTGTTCCGAAAGCCCCCACCCAAGGAGTTCACGGCCAGCCTTGAGTCATTCCGAAAGTCTTATGGAAAACATCCTGCTGGGTACCCGCACTGGTCTAGTGGCTGGGGACAGAGCAGGCACAAATCCATACAGAGCTTACAGTTCTGGTGGAGAAGAAAGACAATAAGCAAATACATTTACCTAAGTAAATAAAGACCTACGTTTTCAGATTGTATGAAGAGCTAAGAAAAACATAAAATGATTGAGAGTGACAGCCGGTACTTTGCATATGGTGGTCACTCCCAAGGAGGTAAGAACTGAGAGCAGAGCTCACTTGAATGAAATGAGGGCGAGATCATGCCACGCAGGGGAGATGGCAAATGCAAAGCTCTGTGGTGCAGACCTCGGCCAAGTTTGAGAAGTCACAGATGAAGGAGGACGAGAAGGCTGCAGAGGTGACATCAGAGTGGGAATCAGCGGGCCAAGTCACAGTAGGCCTTTTAGGCTTCAGTAAGGAGTTTTACTCTTATCTGTAGATCGGGAAACCACTGAAAGGTTTTGAGCAGAGAAGTAATATGATCTGATTTATGTTTTTAAAGGGTCAAGCTGGCCGCTGAGTAGAGAATGGGGGTAGAGAGGCGAGTGAGCAGAAGGGAGGAGGGCAGGTGGGGTGATCAGACCCAGAGGAAGGGTCACGGCGGGAGCTGGGTGAGAACAGCAGAACCAGAGCAGAATTCCAAAGAGGTCTTGAAGGTCCAGCTAACAGGGCTTGGTCCCTCCGTGTATACCTTCAAATACCAAAATTTAAACAGTGTATTTTATTTAATAGTCACAGAAACCCAATGAAGCAAGTACTATTATCTCAGAAAACAAAACTGAGTTTTCAGAGTAATGGGGGGGGGGCTGTGCTAGAGGCTCAGGGGGCAGAAGCAAAGACGAGTAAGGTATGAGTTTATTGGAAACCACAGAGTTTTAAATCTTGAAGAGAACACCGTAAGTGCATTAAAACAAACAACAACACAACAAAGTGCAAGGCAGGAGGTGAGCATTAACACAAGTGAAGTGTTGTATATCCAGAGGTGGGCAGACTCCTTCCAGCAGGGAGATCAAGGACCGTGAGTCCTGGGGAGGCGGTATCTGAGTGGGGTGGTAAACGTGGATATAATTTTGGTGGCAAAAATGGGTGAGGACGGTTGAGGCTGATAGAAGAGCATCCGTACGTGCATGCAGAGGGACGTAAAAGATCCTTTCAAAACACTGTGTTTGCCAGTATAGCAGAGCAGGAGGATGTATTAAGGGAAGCCACATACCAAAAAGGTGTGTGTTACAGTCTGTGTGGGGCATTGAATGCCGGGCCACAGAGCTTAATTGTATTGAAAAGGAAAGAGAGTACCATTGAAAAGTTCCCATTTATTCTTGATTTATTCATTTATTCAACAAATCCCTTTTTTTTTGAGTGTTTATTATAAGCCAGGTATTATGCCAGGCACCTGGGATATGACACAGTTCCTTCTGTCAATTTTTTACACTGGTGAGCATGGGGGGGACAAATGACAGAACAATTAGCACTGAATCTAAGCGATATGGTGAAGGATACTTTGAATGGAAGGGACACGGATACCATGGAAGGCTTCCCAGAAGAGGTGACATCTGGGACAAGCAGGGAAGAAGACACTAGAGATCAGTGTTCCAGGAAGAGCAAAGTGAGGGTGGTCATTCCAGAAATGGGAGGGGTTCTTCTAAAGCCCAAGCAAAGAATATGATTCTCCTTTGTGTCTTCTTTTTCCGTGCCGAGACTTTCTATTTGTTCTTTTATTTCAAGCATGTTACAATTGCTCATTGAAGCATTTCTATGATAGTTGATTTAAAATTCTCATCAGATAATTCCAAAATCTCTGTCATCTCAGTATTGGTGTCCGTTAATTATCTTTTCTCATTCAAGTTGAGATTTTTCTGGTTCTTGGTATTACGAGTGATTTCAGACTGTATCTTGGACATTTTAGGTACTGTGTTATGAGACTCTAGATCTCATTGCAATCTCCTGTTTTAGCAGTCCCCATGTGATACTGCCCTGCTGGGGTGGCCTCCTTGTTACCACCTGGGGGGTGGGGGCGGACGTCCAGGTCCCCCATTTGGCTGTTTGTACCTATTGGTGTGGGTGCCCCATTATCGTTGGTCCAGAGTGGGAGTTCAGTCTCCCTACGATCTCTCTGCTGATACCACCCTGGTGACATAGCATTCTTTGAGTCCTGAGGTCCCTACTCTTCTTCTCTTTACCTTTCAGAGTCTTCTTATGTTTGTTTTATATATAATATCTGGAGTCTTTAGAAGTACTTAGCCCGAGGAATAGGAAGAGGTGCATCTGCTTCATCTTGTCTGGAACTGGAAGTTCACGCAAACAAACGTGAAGGAGGAGGGGCCAATCACAGGCCGCGAGGCTAGGGTGATAGGCTGGTTCTAAGCAACTGTCCTCAAAGCCCGCTCACGCCATGAAAAGTTATTGACGACTTCAAAGAGCTTTTGATTTTGAGAGTTACATCCATCAATAATCACTATGTCAGAAATTTAAGTGGGGAAATTTTAAAATTATTCAGTAATTCATTTAAAAATGATCATTTTCTCCTTATGTGAATATACAAGTAACCTACCCTTTCAGGAAAAACAATGATATTTTCAAGAATAAAAACTCTTAGGGGGAAGAGGGGCATTGTTTTACGTGTTGGCACATCTCTTCAGTATCTGGCTCAGTAGAAGACCCCCGACTCTCATATATGTGTCTGTGTTCAATCTGTTGTCATATTTCATGTCATGTGGCTTCTGGAACTCTGTGGTGTCAATACTTCAGAGAGAAGAAAAGTGGAAAATGGCAAATCACATTTTTTAGCATTATTACAAAAATAGTTTTGACCCTAGAGACCCCTTGGAAATGCTCCAAGGGCCCCCAGGGGACCAT